AGATTCAAAACTCTCAAAAAGACATTCAAATCTTGGAGACTGATCTGGGCAAGAGAAATGCATACAGGTATAATTTTGAATACTTATTAAGTGCTTGGGAACCGTTTACTAAGCAGTTATAGCTATTATCGATCAAAAATTACTTTTTTTAAGAAGGGTCATGCTTGCCTTGATCATCTTCCTACTTGCAAACCAGTATTCAAAAGATATCCTCACAAGTAGACTTCGGCAGGACCCATGGGTACCCATGGGTACCCATATAAAACCCATCGATGGGTTGGGTTTTGGGTCCAAGTCTCCGACCCATGATGGGTTATGGGTTTTAGAAGAGGACCCATTACCCATCATGGGTAACCCATGGGTACCTATATTGGTGTAAACAAGACAAACAAAGAAGAATCTCGTGACTACATAATTAATGCAAATTTGTCTGTAATTTTAGGTATTGTAGTTACATATAGAAGAAATAAGAATTGATATAGATAGGTTCGAGTTAAATTGATTCTATTCTTCTAATACTGCTCAAAGTCATTGTCCTCTTTATGTTTGCGTTTCCTTCCAAATGTCTGTAGCTGAATCCTATTCTCTGGTAACTGGAGCTCTTCAGTATCACTCGCAGTACCAAAATCTATTAACTCATTGAAACTTTTGGAAGTAACTATTTCAGTATCTTCCTCCTCTTCCTCTTCTTCCTTCTCGTTATCGCTAATTAAATTAACTCTAACATCCTTCAGATTCTCATTACTCTGTTCCTTTGATGTCTCAATCTCATTCAAAGTAAAATATTTCTTAAGCTCCTTTGCCTCTGTATCCTTAAGATCAAACCTTGATACATATAGAAATAGCATAATTTTTTCAATAGTCTCCGACTTCAAACGGCTACATCGGTAATAGCAGACATTACGGGCAGTGTTAAAAAGCCGCTCAACATCAGTACCGGTTGCAGGAATTGAAAGAGCATCCCGGGCAAGTAATGCAATTGCAGAAAAACGGGATTGATTGTTACGCCAGAATTGGAAAGGCTCAGCTTCCACTGGATCTAGAATTAAATCAGTATAGAACATTAATAGCTAAAACTAACAGATTTACCACTATCGAGATACTGGGTAGCCTCATCTCCAATAGGTTTTGCTACAGCCTTATTCCCACTTAGCATCTTATTAAGCCTTGATGTTGATCTTGATAACGTTTGGGGCGTAGGCGAAGCTTGATCTCTTGAAAGACGCTCTTGATAGGGAAGCAATGCTGATTGAAATGATTTGCGATATATTTTACGCCAATGTAGTTCCCAATCATCAGTCTGGAAGAATTGAAGCTTGTTATCTGGTACAAGCATAGTATCGATAGTAAAGATATGTCCTTTCATCCTATCTGTTTGAGAGTAGTAGTCATTAAGCTTCTGTTGGCCTGCTTTTAGTGACTGTAGCATTTGCTGTTTCCATCTAACACGCTTCTTTTTTAGCTGGCTTATCGATTGCTCAAGATATTCGAAAAGTGCGTTATAAAGCTTGAAAACTAGATGCGTAGTAACTTCCTTTGTCTTTAATAGCTCAGTGATATAGTCAAAAAATGGCTGCGTAATACAGAGAAGATAATCAATTTAACGCCATTCTTTATTATTAAGCAATATCTCTTTACAATTATATTGCTTACAGAACGGTTTGAAATAGCTACATAACCGTTTTGCACGTTGAAACATCAAATACGTCGAGTTCCATCGAGTTTAGACGTCTTGAATAGGCACTAGCCTAGGTTCTTGAGGTTAAAGCTGAAGGAAGGTCTCCCGACGTTGTAGACTTGCATGAATGTAAATTGCAAGGTAGCGAATCTTATTTAATGTATCCGAGATCTCGCGTTTTTGGTATCTTCCATTTGCTTTCGTTACTGATAATTGCTAATCGGTCCATTTTGTCTCTGCAGCATCGTTTTGGGATACAGCTTTAAAACGATTAAGTAGCTGATTCAAACAAAGCTAGATCACATGAGCAAGACAAGGAATTCAGATAACAGTAGCATTGTTAGGGAGTGCTTGCTGGATTGTATCAACTAATGTTTTATTGTTTGTTGCATTATCTGTTGTAATCCCGAACACCCGGTCTTGGATATTGTGGCCAACTAATGTTTCGAGAAGAGCTGCACTTAGATTTGCACCTGTGTGTAAGCCATATAATGGCTTGAATCCAAGAAGAACCTCTTGATATATTCAGTTGACATTAATAAAATAACCCGTGACTGCCATAAAGGCCTGATTATATGGGGAAATCCAGCAATCTAGTGCAACCGATATCTTTGATCCGGGCGGAAGTGTTTGAAGGGTAAAACGTTATTTATCTTGAATAACATCCCGTAATCGTTGCCGAATTGTAGTCGAAGAAGGTATTACTGGAGAAGAAGGCGCTGAGCATGCTGATTAAATAAGAATATAAAACGTTAGATGTTTAACAAGATAGAACGGTAGACGATTCAAAGTAAGAAACTGTAGAAGCTGAACCTTTTATGCAGCTTGCGAAAAAGGCTTAGTAGTAGCTGTCCGGTCCTAAAATAATCAATATAAGGTAAATAAAGCTTGATAAGTAACATACTTCTGCTTTAAGAAATCGAGAGATATTCTCTTTACTGTTAGCTTTAGCCTTTTAGCAACTTGCTGTCTTGAGATGTTTTGACAAAGTTGATGTGCCATATAGGCTCTTGCCGTTAGGTAAAGTAGCTGCAGGATATTCTAAAATCCGGGTGCAGCATTTATACATTACCTTTGGCATTTCATCTTTATGAGAGGCAATCTGATCAAAATGTTTCCAGATATCTGCATTGCGGTTTGTATCCCATTTAAAGTTACTTTTCTGTCTGAAGTCTGTTTGGAGCCACCAGTCAACCCAATCGGTATAAACCATATTGTCATAACGTAAAAAGGCCTTTCTCTGATCTGGGCCAACAC